CACTTTCCTCTGTCTTGTAATGCAATACACTCTAGCAGTGCACATCATAGTAGTGTATTGTAGTTTATAGTGTATAGTAGTGTAGCGTGTAGTCGTGTATTGTATAGTGTCGTGTATAGTAGTTTATAGTGTAGTGTATTGTAGTGTTTATCGTAGAGTATAATAATGTAGTGTATAGTGTATAGCAGTGTAGTGTATTGTAGTTTATATCGTAGTGTATAATAATGTAGTGTATAGTGTATAGCATTGTAGTGTATAGTGTAGTGTATTGTAGTGTTTATCGTAGTGTATAATAATGTAGTGTATAGTGTATATCAGTGCAGTGTATAGTCGTGTATTGTAGTGTATATCGTAGTGTATAATAATATAGTGTATAGCGTATAGCAGTGTAGTGTATAGTGTAGTGTATTGTAGTGTTTATGGTAGTATATAATAATGTAGTGTATAGTGTATAGCAGTGTAGTCTATTGTAGTGTATTTTGTGTATATCGTAGTGTATAATAATGTAGTGTATAGCAGTGTATTGTAGTGTATATCGTAGTGTATAATAATGTAGTGTATAGTGTATAGCAGTGTAGTGTATATGGTAGTGTATAATAATGTAGTGTATAGTGTATAGCAGTGTAGTGTATTGTAGTGTATTTTGTATTGTGTAATAATGTAGTGTATAGTGTATAGCATTGTAGTGTATAGTGTAGTGTATTGTAGTGTATATCGTATTGTATAATAATGTAGTGTATAGTGTAGTGTATCGTGTCGTGTATCATCATCATCATCACGATCCATGGGTAGATAGCCCCGCCGTAGTAGTAGTAGTTAGTGGGTGCGTCCACTGCACATTTTTCGCGATTTGTTGTTGCAACACTTTCCTCTCTCTGTCCCCTCGTGCCAAGACGGCTCGAGTGGTGGACCGAATCTTCCTGGCGCACCGACCCCTTCTCGTGGTGGCGTCTGCAAGACGTTGCTCCGTCAGAGCCTTCCCTCTCTCTCTCCACTTCCTTCCGTTTTTCCCGAACGACAACAACGACGACAACAACAACGACAACAACTTTTAACAATTTCTCCTTCACCATCACTGCATGCATCATCGGTCCGTCTTCGTCAGTGGCACAGCCGCTTTCTCTCGCTTCTACGCCGGGCCCAGCTCAGACGCAGTCTCTGCTTTAAATAAACCTTCACGTTAAAGAGGGAACACATTTTAAGTTTGACAGATTTAATGGGTGGGGTGTGTGTGTGTGGGGGGGGGGGGGGTCACAAGACATGTGGACCAACCTTGTTCACATCGCTCAAGGCGTCTCGAGCTGCTGCTGCTGCTGCACGGTGGAAATCTCCCACAATGCAAGACGTGTACCGGACATGATAAGTGAACACCTCAGTGCGCTTTGCCTGGTATGATGGGGGTGGTCTAGTGTTATTTGTACGTGTTTGGGTGGTTTTGTTCAGCTAAGGCTGCGTTGGCTGGGTCATGTAGCCCGCATGCCCAGCCACCGCATGCCGAAACAGCTTTTGTTTGGCTGGCTAGAGGGGGCTAAGCGGGCGCGGCACGGGGTAGAGAAGAGATGGAGTGATGTGGTACAGGAGGACGTGGAGCTGAGTGGACTTGCCGATGACACCAGCGGTGTCAAGATCGGCCTCTGTGGAGGAGGCTCGTGAAGGACGCTACTGGGTAGTTGGAGGCAGTCGCCCTCCAACAACAAGGGAGGGGTGGAGGAGCGACGCTCAGAACAACGAGCGGAGTGCCGGGTGGCTAAAGCACAGCAGGTTGGCACAGTAGGGGGCACAGGTGGTGCATCAGCCAGTCATCTCAGTCAGTCGACCCGTGGCACCTGGGTCTGCCCCGTGACCTCCTGCCAGCGGGCGTTCGACACTTCACGTGGCCTCAACGTGCACCTAGCCTGGCACAAGCGCCGTGGTAACATCATCGCCACTTAGTGGCGAATGGCGGTTGTTGTTGTTGTTTACCCGTTTCTTATCCGTCGTGTATCGGCATTGTTTGTTGTTGTAGCGAGCTTACCCCGTGCCACCGACTGGACCATCTGTGCAAGAAAGAGCTTTAGAGCTCATCGGATTCGTCTCGCAGTATATAAATAAATAACCCGCCTGCGACAATGCAGGCGGCATGCTTGTGTGCACAGCCTCAATGTTTGTCAGACGTTCATTTCCGTTTATGTAACACCCCCACACACACACACAGCTTCCCCTCCGTGTTACACCCACCCCTCTCTCTCTCTGTCTCACTGAACAGAAGCTTCACGTTTGTTGTTATTTTGCCTGCTGAATGGGTAGGCGATAATCGCTTTGGAAACCTGCTGCTCCCTTCGCCCCCTTGCATAACGCCCCTGAAGACGTCGTGAGACACAACGCTTCGTGTGTCTCTCTGTCTCTCTGTCTCACTGTCTGTCTCTCTCTGTCTCTCTCTGTCTCTCTCTGTCTGTCTCTGTCTCTCTCTGTCTCTCTCTGTCTCTCTCTGTGTCTGTCTCTCTGTCTGTCTCTCTGTCTGTCTCTCTGTCTGTCTCTCTGTCTGTCTCTCTGTCTGTCTCTCTCTGTCTCTCTCTCTGTCTCTCTGTCTCTCTGTCTCTCTCTCTGTCTCTCTCTGTCTCTCTCTGTGTCTGTCTCTCTGTCTGTCCCCCGGTAAGGATCGGTCACCTCCTGATCCCTCTTTAGTCCCCTGCCACCACCCCCATCACCATCACCACTCTTGCTGTGACACTCCTCCACGCGTGTTGACAGCCTGGGTCCGATACCGGGGCACTGGGACCGTCTCGTTTGATCCACCGCTCCCGCCGCACTGCGCAGGTCACACACACAAGGACAACGATCCCTCCCTTCCCGTGTAGCCTCGAGCGGCGGTGCTGTTGGGGCAGGCGCCGTTAGCGAGTAGCAGCGACGAAGGGCGGGTTGGCCAGCACCACGCCCGGAGGGCAACCTTTGGCTGCCTAGTGGAGACGTTTACACGTCGGCACCAGGTACAACGCCGTCGCTGGAGAGAGAGAGAGAGGAACCCCCCCCCCCCCCCGGCAAGCTACGGTCACGTAACGATCGTTACGATCAACGCCCACACGCCCAAACTCCCCCCCGCTTCGTAGAAAAGTTTTAAAATGCTGTGACACTCGCTCACTCAAGACAGAGCTCGCTTCCAGGAATCGTACACACACACTCACACACGCACTCGCACGCGCACACTCGCTCACACGCACACACACTCGCTCGCACACACACACACACTCGCTCACACACACACACTTGCTCACACACACACACTCGCTCACACACACACACTCGCTAACTCGCTCACGCACTCGCTCACTCACTCACTTGCTCACTCAGCCATACCTCTTTTGCTTCCAGGAATTGTACACAACAACAACCGCCATTCGCCACTAAGTGGCGGTGGCGTCACCACAACACTTGTGCCAGCCCATGTGCACCTTGAGGCCACACACACTCGTTCATAAACACACACACACGCTCGCTCACACCACACCAGCTACTCGTTTTGTGGCTGAGTCGACCTAGGGAAGGCCCACCACCTTTTCAGATAATCATCACTGGTGGTGACTGAATCGAACCTCGTGTCGCTGGGTTCGTAGTGCAACACGCTAACCGTGACGTTACCGCTCCCCACAACACACTCGTCAACCCACACTCACCTATGAACTCACTTGCACACACACTCATCCACTCACCGACTCACTCGCTCACCGACTCATTCATCCACTCACTCCGTCACGCACTCATTCACACACCCGCTCGTTCACTCGCTCATTCACACACCCGCTCATTCACACCCGCTCATTCACACACCCGCTCATTCACACACTCGTTCACTCGCTCATTCACACACACGCTCATTCACACACACGCTCATTCACACACTCGCTCATTCACACACACGCTCATTCACACACTCTCTCATTCACCCACCCACTCATTCACCCACCCACTCATTCACCCACCCGCTCATTCACACACCCGCTCATTCACACACTCGTTCACTCGCTCATTCACACACACGCTCATTCACACACACTCTCATTCACCCACCCACTCATTCACACACCCACTCATTCATTCACCCACTCATTCACACACCCGCTCATTCACACACCCACTCATCCACACACTCTCTCATTCACCCACCCGCTCATTCACACACCCGCTCATTCACACACCCGCTCATTCACACACTCTCTCATTCACCCACCCACTCATTCATTCACCCACTCGCCACACTGCAGCTTACCTCACTTCTCTTTCTCCGTCTTCCCTCGCACCGCTGCCCTTGGAAATTCCTCCCCACCATCTCGAAATAACAGCCTCGCTCAATTCAAGCAACGCGTGTTACTCGCTCATCTGTTGCAACGTCAGTGGCGCCGTCTGTCACCGATGTGTGGTGGCGGTGGTGGCGGCGGTGGCGGCGGACGTGGTGGTGGTGGAGGTGGTGGAGGTGGTGGTGGTGGTGGTGGAGGTGGTGATGATGGTGGAGGTGGTGGAGGTGGTGGTGGTGGTGGTGGAGGTGGTGGAGGTGGTGGAGGTGGTGGAGGTGATGGTGGAGGTGGTGGAGGTGATGGTGGAAGTGGTGGTGGTGGAGGTGATGGTGGAGGTGGTGGAGGAGGTGGTGGTGGTGGTGGTGAGTGAGTGCGTCAGAGCGTTTCGCTGGTGATGACACCCATGCTCCATCAGGCGATTGGCCACAAACGTCACGGCACGCGAATTGTGAACGGCGTGGGTTTTTGCTCTCCAAACACACCGATAAGCGCTGGACCAGTAACCGATTGGCACACTTTTGTTTCACGTGACGAACCTTGTGCCGGCTGGTGGCATGTCATCTTTGCGCGATCTAACCCGAACACACGAAAAAAAACCCTTTATTAAGTCTACGTGTTGTTAAAATAATCATAATTAGAATTACCTCTTCTCCGGCTGCTGCTCCCACCCTGCCCCCCACCCCGCCCCCCCACCCTGCCCCCCCCCCCCCCCCCGCCCGGGCCGCCACACAGGAGCAGGTGATGCGCAGGGTGCACGGGCGCCATGCCGAGTGAGTTTGTGGTGCGGGAGGACGCGGCGGCGCTGGTCGCCCGCCACCGTCTGCACGTGCGCCAGTGCTACGGCGTCGCCGTCGACCTGGACGACGCCGCGCCCGTCGGCGGCTCGCGCTGGGTCCGGCTCAGCGGCGGCGACGGCAGCCAGCGGCAGCGGGCCAAGGTACGGAGCGACGGTGCCACGACCGCGGGCACGCACGGCCACCACCACGGCCACCACCACCACCACGGCCACCACCACGGCCACCACCACGGCCACCACCACCACGGCCACCACCACGGCCACCGCCACGGCCACCACCACCACGGCCACCACGACCACCACGACCACCACCACCACCACCACCACGACCTCCACCACCACCACGGCCACCACCACCACCACGACCACCACGGCCACGGCCACCACGACCACCACGGCCACCACCACCACCACGGCCACCACGACCACCACCACGACCACCACCACGACCCCCCACCACAACTACCACCACAACTACCACCACGACTGACGCAAGCACAAAGACCCCCCCCGTATAGCCTGGACAGACTGTTGGGGCAAGTGCCGTTAGCGAGTATCAGCACCTTGGGAGACGCTACCGGCGCCGTGGCACACGAGGGGGGAGGGCTGGCGAGCCCCACGCCCGGCCGCCTTTGTCTCCCCGCTGGCGGCGATGTTTAGCCGACACCGCCGCAGCGGGCCGTGCTGTGGCAGCCTCCCGCTGACGCCGAATCACGGAGCCCCCCGGTGATGGGGCGTGGGACGGAGCGGTGAGGCGAGAGATAGGCACGGCCAGCCCCTGCAGTGACGCGTTGTTGTTGTCGTTGTTGTTGTTGTTGTCGTTGTTGTTGTTGTCGTTGTTGTTGTTGTCGTTGTTGTTGTCGTTGTTGTTGTCGTTGTTGTTGTTGTCGTTGTTGTTGTCGTTGTTGTTGTCGTTGTTGTTGTCGCCGTTGTTGTTGTCGTTGTTGTCGTTGTTGTTGTCGTTGTTGTTGTCGTTGTTGTTGTCGTTGTTGTCGTTGTTGTCGTTGTTGTTGTTGTTGTTGTTGTCGTTGTTGTCGTTGTTGTCGTCGTTGTTGTTGTCGTTGTTGTTGTCGTTGTTGTTGTTGTTGTCGTTGTTGTTGTCGTTGTTGTTGTCGTTGTTGTCGTTGTTGTTGTCGTTGTTGTTGTCGCCGTTGTTGTTGTCGTTGTTGTTGTTGTCGTTGTTGTTGTTGTCGTTGTTGTCGTTGTTGTCGTCGTTGTTGTCGTTGTTGTCGTTGTTGTCGTTGTTGTCGTCGTTGTTGTTGTTGTCGTTGTTGTTGTCGTTGTTGTTGTTGTCGTTGTTGTTGTCGTTGTTGTTGTCGTTGTTGTTGTCGTTGTTGTTGTCGTTGTTGTTGTCGTTGTTGTCGTTGTTGTCGTTGTTGTCGTCGTTGTTGTCGTCGTTGTCGTCGTTGTCGTCGTTGTCGTCGTTGTCGTCGTTGTCGTTGTTGTCGTCGTTGTTGTTGTCGTTGTTGTCGTTGTTGTTGTCGTCATTGTCATTGTTGTCGTCGTCGTCGTTGTTGTTGTCATCATTGTTGTTGTCGTCGTCGTTGTCATTGTTGTTGTTGTTGTAGTCGGTTGTGCGGCGGGGCCAACGTCCACGTTGAACTTCTTCCGCGCCGTACGTAGCCAGCCGTGCTGATCGGAGGTGCGCGGGGAAGGACAACAAACTAACACAACAATGAGAAGCAGTTGTAAAGAAATTAGTTTGTCAAGATGATGATGATGATGATTAAAAAGCGCAGCTGAGCTCCCAGTGAAAGGGGCGGGAAAATTGTTTTGATTCGCAGGCCTCAGTGGGTTCTAAAATTTGACAGAGGGGCCGGGCCGGGAACAGACGGACGGAGTGTTCGTGTGAACTTAATATAAATGACGTGTTAAAAATCATTACGTGAAAGGATTTGGCCTTTGACAGGTAGCAAAGCGTTCGTTTGCGAGGCAAATTCAACGAATTGCACGAACGTGAACGATACAAAAACAGGTCGTAACTCCCGGTCAAAGTGCGCCATCTAATGGGGAAATGGGCGCATTAATTTAATAATAATAATTATATTTGGACGAGTTCGGCGGGCCGGGTTAGAAAGCCCAACGGGGGCGTACTTTGCCCACGTCTGTCCCAGTGGCTTTCTTAAAGTTGTAAGGAAGGAAGGAGCGTTCCAGACGGCCGCCGAAGCGCCCCCGAAAGCGCCGCGCGACGGTGCGGTGACTCGTCCGCCGCCTTTGTTCGGCGGCTTCACGAGAAGCCGTCGCCGCCGCCGCCGCCGCAGCCGCAGCCGCAGCCTTCTGCGGCGAGGCTGATGACACCCGGGGTCGTCGCGACGATGGTTCACAGCAACCCCCCCCCCCGCCCGCCGACGAGATAGGCGAGCGAGCTCTTCGCGATGGCGTGCAAGCGGCCGTGCGAGCGCGGCTGCTACTCGCAGGGGCTGCTGCGCCTCCATAACAACAATAACAACAACAATAACAACAACAATAACAACAACAATAACAACAACAATAACAGCAACAACCGTAGTCCCATTTTATTTGTCGTGCTTTTCATCAAGGCTCCCAAAAGCGCTCCACAAGACGCAGCAGCAACAGCAGCAGCAGCCGCAGACACTCGGCATACTGTTTTTGTTTTTTTAAGAATCCATCGACTAAAAACCTCCTTGACCTTGACAATGTATGCGACCTACTGCTGAGCGTGCCGTGGGTCTGCACGAGGGGGGGGGGTGGGTGGGGGGGGGTCATGCCGTGCGGGGGAGTTGCAGGCACGCGGCAGCCGCGTCGGCGGCGTTGAGGAAGCGCCCCCACCGCCCACTTTGAATATTTCTCTGCAGGTTGGCGGCTTGTCGGGGGGGGGGGGGGGGGGGGGAGGTGATTTGCCTACCGCGGCGTCGCGCCCGGACGAGGAAGCAAAAAACCGACCCGACCCGAAACTCCCTTCCTCGTAGCGAGCATTTGCATAGACGCCTCTCGCCCCCCCCTGTTTGCGAGCGGCGGCAGCAGTTCAAGGGTTCTTTCTCGCCGATGGCGGAGCGCCGATAGCGGCTGCGCGCGTGCGGCTGCGTTTTGTTGCGTGTGGAACAAAAACATGATCCAGGTTTTCGTCCATTTCTCGCTGTGGTTTTTTGCGACAACGTGTAGCCAACCGCGGCGGCGGCAGCGGCGGCGGCGGCGGCGGCGCTGGGAGTGAATGGTTCGCACCGTTTGGCTTGCGACTGCCGCGGGTCGCGCCGGTTTTGATCCGATCTCAGTTGAAACGATGGCGGCAAGTTTCGCAAACCTGCCCGGCCAGCCAGGCAGGCAGCTACCCACTCAGCCACTCGGTCACCCACAGCCGCTCAGCCGCCCCTATACCCACCCAGTCACTCAGTCACCGAGCCACCCAGCTACCCACCCAGCCACCCACCCAGCCACCCACCCAGCCACCCAGCCACCCCACTACCCACCCAATCACCCAGCCACTCAGCCACCCAGCTACCCACTCAGCCACCCAGCTACCCACCCAGCCACTCAGCCACCCAGCTACCCACCCAGCCACCCAGCTACCCACCCAGCCACCCAGCTACCCACCCAGCCACCCAGCTACCCATCCAGCCACCCAGCCCCCCAGCTACCCACCCAGCCACACAGCCACCCAGCTACCCACCCAGCCACCCCACAACCCACCCAGTCACCCAGCCACTCAGCCACACAGTGACTCTACCAGCCACTCAGCCACCCAGCTACCCACCCAGCCACCCAGCCACCCAGCTACCCATCCAGCCACCCAGCTACCCATCCAGCCACCCAGCTACCCATCCAGCCACCCAGCCACACAGTGACCCACCCAGCCACCCAATCACCAAGCCACTCAGCCACCCAGCTACCCAGCTACCCACCCACCAACCCAGCTACCCACCCACCAGGCACCCAGCCACCCAATCACTCAGCCACTCAGCCACCCGGCTACCCAGTTACCCACCCACAAAGTCACCCACCTACCCAGCCACCCACCACCCCACCGACCAGCAGGAATACTCAACGATTCCCGACCGTGACGTCAAACCCCGTTGCCCCCTTCGTTTGTGCAAGGGTTGGCCTTTCTCCGGATGCTCCGGTTCCCTCTCACACGCACACGCACGTAATCTATGTGCGTGTGTGTGTGTGAGTGTGTGAGTGTGTGTGTGAGTGTGTGTGAGTGCGTGTGAGTGCGTGTGTGTGTGAGTGTGTGAGTGCGTGTGAGTGTGTGTGAGTGTGTGTGAGTGTGTGTGAGTATGTGAGTGCGTGTGTGTGTGAGTGTGTGTGAGTATGTGAGTGCGTGTGTGTGTGAGTGCGTGTGTGTGTGAGTGCGTGTGTGTGTGTGCGAGTGCGTGTGTGTGTGTGCGTGTGTGTGCGAGTGTGTGCGAGTGTGTGAGTGCGTGAGTGTGCGTGAGTGTGTGTGTGAGTGCGTGTGAGTGAGTGTGAGTGTGTGAGTGTGTGAGTGAGTGTGTGTGTGAGTGCGTGTGTGTGTTGAACTTCTTCAGCACCGTACGTAGCCAACCGCGTTAATCGGAGGTGCGTGGGTGGAAGGACAACAAACTAAACACAACAACAACAATAATCGGTTATAGTTCAATAAAAACAAAATGTGGTGGCGGTGGTGGCGGTAGTGGCGGGACCCTCCTGAAAACGAGCCGCAGGACCTCGGAGCGGTGGCGCTCCTCGAGTGTGGGGCGCGGCGGCGTGAAAGCGTGAGCAGCCCGCGGCTGATGCCGAACCCGCCGCGTGGACGGGGGGCACGCAAGGGCTCGGCCAAATCCCCTCCACGGCGGGAGGAGGAGACGGAGGAGGAGACGGAGGAGGGAGGCGTCGCTCGCTCTGCGCGAGGCCTCCTAGAGCTTTTGTCTCTTGGTGGGAACCGGTTACTCGTCTCTTCCGTCTCACCCTCCCCCCACCCACCACCAACGCAGCGAAATGTGGGACTTTGCGTAAGTGTGACGAGGAGGATGACGAGGAGGATGACGAGGAGGATGACGAGGAGGATGACGAGGAGGAGGGCGTGCGATGACTTCACGCCCTGCACGTCGGGGCGCGACCGCTCTCTGCGGGGGGGGAGGGGGCGGCGTGAACCTCCCTCCCTCCCTCCCCCACCCGCGGGAAATCCGGCAGGCCGCCCCCCCCCCGGTTCGAATCCGTCAGGC